GAATCAAGGCTGTTGGTTGTACAAAAGCCTGGACACATTCCTGGGAAGATCTCTGGCTGCTTGCTGCTGTGCTCTCCTCCAGCTCAGCCAAATAACGTGTGACTGGATAATGGCCCATCACAGTCACGGCGGGATCAGGAGACAAATCGAGCATTAGCTTACTGCAAAAAAATCAAAGATCTCATTTAATAGGTTTTTCAAAAGAATTTTTAAAAAATTAAATTTTAAACACTAATAGTCTCCTCATTTTAATACATTACAAATTTGCACATGTTGAAAGGAAAGGATTATCTCTCCCATGGCACAGCGATTTGCCTACCAGGTAGGTGAGGCCCCATCTCAAAACACTTTATATTCTTAACCATAGCCATTAAATTTTAGCTCTATTTGAAGAAACTCCTCATGCAAGTCAGATTTAGTTTCAGTATTATTTCTTTTCAGCAGGCAAACTTTATAGAATGCCTAGGCCCCAGTCACTCCATCTACCAGCTGTGTCACATAAGCTCAAATGGTCCAGGGAGGAACAGTTGTGTTGAAAGCTGAAGAGCTTTATTAATTGACATCATCGTGGAAGGACTCCCCTGATACTGGCAGCTTCCACTGGTATGAATTTTTGCTCACAAATCCAGACTTTGTCTTTCCAAAGAGATTCAAACACAGGCTATTTGACTATACAGTTCATGCCTTTTACACACAAATGAATAATAACAGGTCCTGGCTAATACTCCAGATCCAGTGCTAAATATTTATACTGCTCTTGACATTGAGAATCTGTGGCCCAAACCCATTAGCAACAGCTTCCATTCAAGTCATTTCAAGAATCTGAAAATCTTGAAGGATTTGAGCTTAAGTACTTAATTGTTTTTAAGTTCAGGACGTTGCCAACACAGCTACCCTTTGAGAGAGCATAGCTTCATAGATGTGATGTCTGGAGGGATCATTAAAGTCACCTATTTTGATCTCCTGCCTTACATGAGAAAGAACACTGATACCTGATACAATTATTTGTGAAGAGATTTATAGGAGTGGGACTCAGCTGAAGTTGGATGCAGTTAACAAAGATTATGTGGAGGTCTGTATCACATTTAAATATCTATAAACACTGAACATTCTGTGTTTATCACGGGGTGGCAGAAGGGGAAGCTAATTTATAAACAAGAGCCAGTCTGGGCCATAACACCCTACTGCAGGAACCTTCCTTTGCAATCATCTCCTACCACCTTTTGCTTCACTCATCCTCTGGAACTGATTTAGTAGAAAATATAATGGAATAATTAAAATTCAATGTTTTAATATTACTTTAGGGCCAAATCATGTAAGTTGGTTTGGTTTTTTTTAAATGAACTTGTACACATGTTTCAAGTAGTACATTATTTGTCATTTCCCTTGAAAGAAACATTTCTTCTTACTACAGCTATCCTGAGTCATCTTGAACCACAAACAATTTAAGCATGATGCAGCAAAAGGGGAAATTATGCAGAGGGGAGACTGGTGGAATTTTGAACGAGCAGAACAGGAAGATGCATTTCCAGATAGCAGCGTGACTTTTAGCCTAAATCTACTGAACTGTGACAGAATGACTCAAGGTGAAGAAATATCCGCAAACCTAAAGGTGAAAAGGGTGCTTGTACGGGACTTTCTCAGAGCCAAGACTGAGGTATTGTTTACTCTTGAGAGTTGCAGCAACTTCCTGCTGGATTACTCAAGAGCCTCTGGATGAAGAAGGAGCCAGCACTCCACGTGGGACAGGAAAAAAAGACATCTGTCAGGAGACCAAGACACAGGGTAGGCAAGGAAACCATGAGCTAAGCAGAATCGAAAGGAACTGAGAAGTTGTGGTGTCCCCTTTGAAGTGTTGTATCACTTGTTCTCCCATTTCCTATTTATGCTGTTAAAAAAAACAAACCACGCCACCCGAAACACAAACTGCTGCTTAAGCCCAGGCACTTCGCCTGTCTGTAGACTGAGGTGTCCAAATGACCCCTCATCCCAACCTTACCCAACAGCACTGCTGAGCACTTGATGCTTTACTCTCACAGCACCCACTCTGCCATTTCTTACTGCAGCTCAGGCTATCTGGGTAAGACAAGGTGTCTTTCCACTGGGACACAATTTGATTTTCTAAGCCTGTGCTGTTTAGCCAGGAGGCCAAAACACTTCTGCAGCAAACACTCCCCAGGAGATCATTTTGCTCTCCTCGCAGAGGAGATGCTCACGTTTTACTACAGTGAAGGACAAAAGCAACAAATAAGTGATGATTCAAATAGAAGAACTGGTATCTGCTCATCAAAACAGAGATTGTTAATTGGCACACCTATCTAGCACTCTTACTATCACACAGAAAATATGTGACACAATAAATAGGAGGTAATTGTGGGCAATGGTGAAGAACACACCTTAGCACTGCCTTGTGTGGGTATGTGCTATTGCACTCATCTCCTCCCAAAAGGCATTTAGCATGGGAACACAGGTAGGAGATATTAACAACTGAAGCAGACAGCATGATTTTAAGTGTTTAGATGAAGAGCTTGTTCATACTGCATTTTCAAATCATAATATTCCAGTTGTTCCTCTTTTATATATAAATAACCTACATTTGTGTTAGCAATTTGCTGGTTCCATGTTCAACAGGTAAAGCAGTAGCTGCAAGCTAAAAGCTTTTATAGATTTCTAATGCGATCTACAGTGTTTCCTTTCACTTCTTATTTCCAAAATGGCTTGAAGAGGAAATTATCTTGCCTCTGCACAAACACAAGAAACCCCACCAGCTGACATTTCCAGCAAAATTCCCCACCCTGCACCAGGGTGAAGAGTTTAAACCTTAACACTTCCAATGAGCCAAAAAAAAAATCCAAGATAAATCAATCATCTGTTAAAGCTGATATATTTCAATGTAAACATTTTCATGAGCTAATTCTGAACTGTTTTGTTTTGATTCTGGTCTGCTTTTCACAGGAAAGTATTGTAGTTGGTTTAAACTCCAAAACAAAGAACCGATTAAATTGGAACAGCATGTTTCCTTTTGTTCTAAACAGTTTTAAAACTGACATCAGTATGACATTTAGCTTCCAAAAATATCTGGATTTTCTTTGACAAAAAATGGGGAGTCTAAGTACATGAGCTACAAAAAAGTGAACTTTAATACTGGTTCACATTTCATCAAGTTCTAGTTTTAAACTGCAAAGCTAAACACCCACCATTCATTAGTTTGGTGCACAGGCTGGGAACTGCCCTTTACCTTGTTCTCCCTTCTTCAAATGTAGAGCACCAGCAGAAACCCCAGCTTTTGTGGGCATAGTTCAAAACATATGAAAAGCATATTTGCACAGCAAATCGTTTCATGGTGACTGTCATCTACCTGGTCATCACTTAAAAGATCTCATAAAATCAGTGAACTGCACACACTTGTGCTTAAGAGAAAATAACCACCAGCTGGCTGAAAATAGGATGGTCATGGAGTTCAATCTGTTGGTCACTGGGTCAGTGCTCTGTTTCACATAGTTATTGAGTACCACTTCTTAAACCAACTAAACAGATGGGAACTTGTTCTGACTCCAAACAACTCTGAAAGAAGACACAAAACAGGTCCACAGAGAGCACAGATACCCCAGGCAGCAGTGCACAGGGCACTGTGATGGAGTGTAACAGTACAGCATAAAGTACACTAAATTCAAAAAATCAGCAAAAATTCCTGAGCATTTTACATTAATGTATCAATAAGCTGTTACAAAAAGCTTTGGGCACGAAGAGCTGTTGCACTACAATCCTTCCTTGAGAAACTAAGACATGCTTCTGAAGGCAGTCAATAGCTAGTGAACAGTTTCGATCTGTTGGTGCTTGTTCCTGCTCTAGAAGTGTTTAGAGTAGAAATAATATACGAAAATACTTGTTTGAGCAAGCTTATCTGCCAACTGTTGTGGTAGAGAGAGTGCAGCTTGGAAATGAAATGTGAACAAAGAAATGTAACCAAGGGGCTTAGGAGCCAAAGTCGCTTTTTAAAGAGTAATGCTGGGACAGTTATTGAAACATAATTAGTTATCTGAGGGTTAGGGTTAGCCAATTGCTTGTGCTGTCCTGTAAAAGCTTTCCAGCAGTGATGCAACTGCAGACATTGCTTCTCATTCCTGCTCATTTAAAAAAAAACAAAACCCAACCTCCTTTGAGCTAAATCAGTATAAAAGAAAGGGACAGATTAAAACTGATTTATCAGAAGGCAGTTCCAGAGTCACCATAGATGCTCAAATCCCTACAGTTTCATGCTGTGTCTTCCTACACAGCACAGAGAAGGAAACAGCACGGTGTGCCCTGGGGAAACCCAGCACTTACACACTTTCACCATCAGAGCAGACCATGGCAGCAATTTCCAAACTTTTCTGCTTACAAACCCATTGCCTGCTGCTATCAGCCTTTCCCAAGTGCTGAGGGCTCCAATACGGACAGAAGCCACTGCAATCCTCCGAGGCTGGTGACCACCCTCGGCTGGTACGAACCCATCCCTCTTTAGCAGTAACAAAGCACTGAACAGGGAGTCCTTCGCCACTCATGGGAGTGACTCTGAAGAGCAAAACACACGCTGAAACAGGACTCTCAGGAAAAGGGCCACGTTCACTGTGAGGTGGACTATGCTGGGAGAGCTGCATCCCCCGTGGGATGGTCTGTGCGGTCCCCTGGGGTCTTGGCTCTGCCCTGGAGATGCTGAATCGCGAACAGAACGGACCGACCCTTCCGCTGCTCCCGCCCGAGCCGGGAGCGGGCGGAGGCACCGCCGGCTCTGGGACAGCCCCCGAGAGCCACGGCGACCGAGGGCAGGGTCGGAGCAGCCCCTCGGGACCGAGCTCCCCGTGCCCGCTCCGACCCGGCCCCGGGGAGCCCCAGGGGGAGAGCGGAGCGGAGCCGAGCGGGACCCGGCGCTGCCCCCCCCGCCCCGGGGCTGGACCCGCTCCGCACAGAAACCGCCCCGGCGGGGCAGGCAGGGCAGGGCAGGGCAGGGAGAAGCTTACCCAGAAGCGGGACCCGCAGAAAGCCTCCATGTCCGCGGCAGGGGCTCGGAGCCTGCTCCCGGCGCACGCCGGGCACCGGGCGGGGGTAGGAGCCGGTGCCGGCCCCGCTGGGCGGGCCGGGGGCGGGGAGCGGAGGGGCCGGCGCGCCCCATCCCACCCGCCCAGCCGCGCCCCTCGGGCCGGGAGGCGCCTGGAGGGTGCTCCGAGCTCTGCCCGGGGCGGCGGCGATCCCGCATCCCTCCCTCTGCTCCCGGAGCCGGGCCCGCACGCCGTGGGTGACCTCCCTGCGAAAGGAGCGGAGCCCCGGTCCAGTGTGAGCTGCTGGGACAGCCGCAGCCCTGCTCACGGAGGGGGCTTTGGTGGTGCCCGCGGGTCAAGAAGCAGCTGTGGATGCCCCGTCCCTGGCAGTGTTCAAGGCCAGGTTGGATGGGGCTCTGAGGAACCCGGTCTAGTGAGTGGCATCTCTGCCCGTGGCAGGAGATTGGAACGAGATGATTTTTAAGACCCCTCCCAACCCAAACCATTCTGTCATTCAAGCGAAGGGTGGTCTGAGGGATGGTTACTCAGAGAGGATGCACAGAGCTGGGCCACCCTCTGGGTTTGGGCTGACCATCCATCCATCCATCCAGATTGCTCAGGCTAATGTTAATATCACGGAGACATTTGATGTCTCCCATTCAGAGGGGTGTGGAGTGTAGTTGCCCCTGCAGGACTTAAGCGAGCATTGCATTGATTCTTCCATCAGTCTGCAGCCTCTTCCTCCATGCTGATTGCTTCTGCTGTAGACACGTGGTTAAACCCATGGCACGGATCTATTTTGATAAGCCTTCAGTAAATAAATTTTCACGTTTATATGTAACTAATAGGTTTTGTAGTGTAGCACCTTGGACACAATCTGGATTTCACCTCCCTGTGATGCAGAAACACTGTTTGCTTTCCTCTTCGTCAGGACTTCTACAGCATTATTGATCTTCCAGCACCTGCTGTTTGTCCACCCACTTGCTGCAGCATCTGGTTCAATTAACATCATCTCATGCAAAGCACCCTGCTGCCATAAATCTACTTCAGTATTTTAAGAGTTTGAGTTTCCTTCCTTGCTGAAAGGTGAGGAACCATCAGGTGGAAGGGCGTTGTCAAAAATGTTCACCAGAATGGAAAAAGAGAGATCTCAGAGTCATAAAACCATAGAATGGGTTAGAAGGGACTTTAAAGATCATCTAATTCCAACCTCCTGCCATGGTCAGGGATGCCACCCACTTGATGAGGTTGCTCCGGGCCCCATCCAATCCGGCTTTGAACACTTCCAGGGATGGGCATCCACAACTTCTCTGGGCAACCTGTGCCAATGCCTCAGAGAACCGTGATTACTGCTGTGTCCCAAAAATATGACATCCTGAAAGAAAAAATACTCTGCTAATCTTTTATGAAGATGCTGGGCCTGTTTCCCACTCAGAGTACAACCAGAGGAATCCATGGTCTTCTCATGAACACTGCTGAGACATTTACTATAATCTGGCTAAAGGTACACCATTCTCACTAGTGTGGGAAGACAAAACCTTGCCCAAGATCAGGTTCTCAGGTGATTGCCTACAAGGTCTGAAATCTCAGACTGGTCCAGATTAATCAATGCAATCACATTGCAACCCTCTCAAGGAAATACAAGAGAAGCACTTCCAACTGGGTGAACAAGATGTTCTGAGGAAATCATGGGTTGGCTTTGCAAGTGCTACGGTGAAACTTTTGTTCTGTGGAATTGCACCGCAATAAAAGTTTTAATAAAACTCGGTAATAGCTGAGAGTTGTTCCTTTATGGCTCTTTAAATATGTTCTTCTGCAATAATCTGTGAGAACAGCTGCTCCAAGAGAAATGCTGAGAATTTGGTACCTCTTGACACATGAATATGTACCACTGTTCCTTGCACTGAGCTGCAGGATTTGGTGCAGTTTGAGAATGCAGTTTTGAACCCAAAAATAAGACCAGCTCTGACATTGTAAGATGTCCCAGGTACAGAGCTACCTCACAAACAGCAACTGTAATCCATGTGTACAGGAGGGGAGAGGTTTCATTTATCAGTGTTCTGCACAGTTCCATTGACATGTGAATTAATCCCTGATTAAATTATTGACTTTGGTGGTTCTATGAAACCTTGTGGCTTTCCACCATATCCATAGAGGAAGGTTCTGTATAAGGGTATTTCCCTTGGTTTCACAGGAGTCTAAAGACTAGGGAGCCCTAAATAATTCTGCCTCTTGCTTCATGTTGCTAATTAATGATGGACAGCTTCTGCCTTCATTAGCAGCTCATGCCATTAAAGGGATGGTAGTGATGAGTGGGTGTTAAGCTCCTCCAGCTCCTCCTGTGTGCCCCCCTGAGCTTGAGGAGAGCCACCAGGCAGCCCTGCATGGACCTCACAGCAGACACTGCAACTTGTGCTGGCTTTGCATTGAAATTACTGACTTAGAGGTGCTGTCTGGCAAAACAGACAAGCAGAGAGGGAAAAATGAAGGGCAGGAATTAACGAAATAATAATGTCTCAGACAGACATCCATTACAAGATAGAGGGGAAAGCTTAAAAGCTCCTGGGAAGGACCATGGTAAAGGATTCTGCTGAAACTGGTGCAAAGCAGAGCCTGAAGCACCATCTCAGGCAGCTCAGGATGGTCCTGCTTCCTTTTAATGATGGGAAGGGAGATGGAGGTACCTAGAACATATCATTACCCTTGTGATGTTCCCTTAAACTCAGGCTGGGTCTGCAGGAAAATGAAATGGCACCTTTGGTGAAAATGTCAGGGAGGTCACGAACTCACCTCTCACCGGACATTTATTCTTTATTCCGGGGAGTGGCGAGATCTGATCTGGATTCATTCAGCAATAATGTATTTAAATCTTCTTTTTCATGCCAGCTGCACAGTAAGAGACTTTTCACCTGGTAACACACAGAGAGGTCAGGCCAGTGCAATCAGGAAGCACCTCAGGGGCACACCCAGGCCGTGCAGCAGAGGCTGGCTATCAACTAGAGCTATTGACTGGGGCAGGACAGGAGGTAACGTGAGGGAGAAGCTGTTTGTGTAAGCAGGGTGCCAAGTAGGAGGCAGGATGCTTTTCATATCTCACCTCAGGCTGATTTGCAAAGCACTAACAGCAGGATGGAGTGTGGCCGACTCCCAGGGAGACCTGTATAAAGAAGCATATTCAGAGTTGAGGTTTTGGGGATGGCTTGAGCATGTTCAGCTCTGGAAGTCACAGTTTTATGGTTAGTTGACTATAAATATCACCTTCTTTCTCTGCTTGGAACAGCAGAGGCTCAGCTTCCTTTCCAAGACCCACAGAGGTGTCACATTTTACAGATGGTAAGAAAAAGAGGCTGCCAAAGAGGCTGCATTCACAGCACTTTTTTACTTCATAAAAAAGGGGCTGACACCTTGTTTTAACATACATAAGATGGGAACTTGTAACAAACTCTGCTTAAAGTCAACACTGCATGAGTAGCAGCAGACTTAGGGTTTCTCCTTCTCAAACAGTCGATGCTGCTGCAAATATGTGCATCTCCCTTCTAGCAGGAAAGGATTTAATTTCCTAATTTCCAGAAAGCGCAGTGAGCAGTTCAGAAGTCCCATGATAAAACAGATGAGGGAGTGGGCTGGGAATTCGCAGCCCCAGTTTTACTCACAGCTCTGCTTTTGGGCATACAGCAGCTACCTGGCTTTATAGGCAGCGAGTGGAAGGCAAGAGTCCCTGAGAGGAAGAAGAGAGGCAGCAGTTCCCTGGGAAGCCAGCACAGGAAAGCTGGGACCACACTGCACTCGGCCTGGAGCTGCACTGTAAGGTCATTCATGCTGTGGGGTGAGGTGGGGTCCACTTAGTGCATCAGGTCTCTGTGAAAGAAGAAAATAGTGTTCCCATGACTCCTCCAGGACACAGTGTGTAATACCAGCTTCCCCTGCTCCATGGGTGCTCCTACATTTCATACTGAGAGCGATGAGCAGGAGACCAATCTGAACATGCTGAGAACTGCCTAGATGACCCCAGAGTGATCCTGGAGCTGCTCCAGCCGTGAGCAGCTGAGTTCTTAACGCACTGGGTGTTTCTCTCACCTGCTAGAAAATTCCACAAACATATTCTCAGGTGCCTGCAGAGGTTGGCAGAGGCCATGACAGGTGTAACACACCCCAGCTTGTAGGTGACTTGGCTGCAGAAGGAGCTCAGAGTGATGGACAAACAGCCCCAGCCAAGCAGCACATGGCATTTAGGCTTTCTGGAGCCAAGACTCAAACTATCCCAGTTCAGTCCCTGACACAATTGTCATGGCTTATCCTCTGCCCCTGCCAACCTGGCCACACCACAAACCCCTCCTGCTTTTAATGGGCTGAAGCTGTTCGGGATTTCACCACAAAATGGGCAGAGTAGTTGAAGGAATTCAAACACCAGGCCCTGCTTTATTTGAACAAACGTGGAGTTGTCACCCTTGGCCACGCTGAGCTGGTGGCATGTGGCAGAGCAGTTCTGTTCTTCCTTTGCAGGTGTCAGCCTAGCATGTGCTGTCCACTTCAATATATTTTGATTGTAGAGTGATTACAATATTAACTTCTTCCTGATTTTCCCCAAAACAGCTGGATTCTGCTTTCGGTTTCCGTAAAATAACTGTTAGCACAGTAACTAATTAAGTGGCTTAACCATCCTTTCCATTTCCCAGCTGGAGCTGCAGGGGTCTTTGGCTGCATTATTTAGAGTATTAAATAGATATGAAAAGACAATCTATTCAGGAGCTCTGAAAGCTTGCCAATTATAGCATCCAGGGACTCAAACAATAACAGAAAATGCCAGAGGATGCTGCAGGACTATAACAGTGTGTTGTAAACATATCAGAAGTACTGAATTCAACATGTACAAATCAACTGAAGGTCCAATCACCCTCAAAGGTGAAAATGCCAGCCAGGCTTTCGCTGGTGACCACGCCAAAGCAAACAGGAACAGGAGGTTTTGGGGACCTCAGGTGCAGCCTGAGCTCATGCTCACAGATCTCCCAGCTGAAGCACTTCATGGTAATGCCATCTAGTGACAGGCACACAGTGAACATCCAACCTCTGCACCTCCCCACAGGCAGT